CGCCGTGTTCCGAACGCGCTCGGAGTGGCTCGCATTCCTCAAAACGATCTCAGTTCTTCCATCGACGAGATTTGTTGATTTTTATCACTGCCGACGGCAATCTGCCGCATGCTTAACAGAAATGGGGTCTGATCTCGTCAGTATTTTTTGCAACTCCCCTCTACCCATAATCGTCACCGCTCCTTGAGTCACCTCCATTCGTCATCGGAGACATCTGAGCAAATTATAATGATCATATCTTCTATCGTGTTGATCCAACTGTTGGCCTATGGTGTACCACTGGTTCAAGCAGGTTCCTATATGGAGACCTACCAGAAGTACGATGGGTTTAATGAAGAGGGGATTTACTGCATCATGACCGTTAAGGAATTGACACAGGCGCGTTTGGTGGCCGATATTGAATTGAGTAATGGCGATTATGATGACACATGCAATGACGTCGACTTCGACTACGAGATCTCTACATCCGGAACCACTAATCGCACTACTGCTCTGCGGGAATCCTATAAGCTCCAGGCCAGTTCGTTGGGTGTTGCTGATGACGACTGCCTCCAGGACCTCGCTAGTGACATGAATATGGGTAGTCACTGTCGCTTCAATGCCTACCCGAAAAACGGTCATATGATCTTCGAGGCTTGCAATAGCAGATTCGACCTGTCTCCGAAAAGCTAACTCTCCAAGTTACTTGTGATGATGATCTCTCGAGGCTTCACGAATCTGTTGTAGCTGTCGCTTAGCATTTTATATCACTCGACACTTATCAGACGAGGATTCATGATCCATACCGCTTACATCCTCCCTTCGTATACTCATAACTCGACTTCTCGTGAAGTAGTAATGGACTTGTCGGATTACAAGATATGTCTATGATGCGTGCGATATTCGATTCTGATTTGTGGTGCATATCGCGCAGTCCGTCTTTGGGTCTCGTTATATTTTGTTGATCTCATGTAAGTAATTTTTTCCGGTCACTATAAGTATTCATTCCATCACTATAGCTCCCATGTGGATTCCAGTCCTAGTAGAGAGAGCGATGTTGGGCTGTAGGAGAGTGCCTCGTCGATAGTGTTGAGGAGTTTACCGAGGAGGGAGAAACCATGACGCAATAGTACCAATCGGTGGTGATTTACACAATTCTTGTTGATGATTCGCCTCATCGATCATTAGCTATGATCATTCTACCTGCCTTGTTCTTTGACTCATTGCCATACCCACGCCACATAGGTTTGTGTTCGAAGTACCGCATGTGGTTGCCAAACTACACCACATGACAGCAATTTTTCAACAATAACGATGGAAGCGATCTGCACATGATAAACAGTTGGAGAATGCTCCGCAAACGGGGCATAAAGATTGAAACTCAAATGAAAATTTTGAGTACGAGTCGGTTCAGACCGTGGAGGCAAGCACACTCTGTGCTTGTCGGTCTCCCCCATTCTAGCTACCACTGGCATCGATCTTGCTAGTAGTATGCACCGGCACGTCTTCATGTCTTGAGTTCATGAAGAACACGTAATAGTCGCAACAGTGAGGTTAAGATCCTATGAAGCCGAAAAATCATGCTTCAGCCATCATGGGAGCAATCGTACCATAATGGCCCTTTAAATCGAACTCTTAAAGAATGGAGACTCTCCATCCTTCAAACTTGGCTCCACGGGAGAGCTGATCTTCAGCGCAGACTCTGTCCTCGAACTCTGCTCGGTAGAGTCAGATTGCTCAAACGCCATTTTGAGAGGCTCCTAGAGTTTGTGGTATTTCCGATGGTATACTCTGCGTGATTCACGCAGCGTGAATTATCGTACGCGAAATCCTGTGCGGTTCCTGCGCGCGGTGGAATGAAACATTCTCATCTTTACCTCGGTATGCGCACGTTATGTCAACCATCTTTGCTTGATTGAGCTCAGCTTAACGCAAGGGATCTTTAGACAAGTCGAACGGTTCGGAAAGACGACAAATCACATACCTGAGCTCGAATTATATGCATAGTAGTTCATGAGCTTCACGTGATGGACCGCACGATCTGAGCTAGCGAGACTTTGGTCTGCAATAGCCCCACTTAGTACGTGGTGTTGAACTTTGCAGTCCTCAAGACCGAAACAGCACTCATTAGAGAGTATAAATCGCTCCCGTACCGCATTTTGTATGAGCAGATTTTGAGCGTAATAATTCTATGTTGAGGTGTAGGGGGAGTGTCTCTTCTTGCACGCATGCACACCGACTAACCACAGAGTTGGTTTCCATTTCAGTCCCATTTATTTGTTGTCAATATGAATAACCTGCTGGACCTCATCTTCGCTTTCAAAGTAATGATCGGTAGCATTCAAGCTGCTGATAGCCTCGTCGATTATGTTAACGTTCTAGCTGGTACTTCTAATACTTATGAGTTGTCTACTGGCGGCGCCACGCCCCTCATGGGCCGACCATTCGGCTTCAATCATTGGTCTGTTCAAACTGAACCCGACCATGCCACTGTACGCTACTTCAACCCGGCCTCGAGAAGCTTCTATGGTGTTCGATGC